AAAAAAAAACGATTTTTTTCAAAAGGATGTTTCAACCCCTAAAACTGTAATTTCGCATGAATAAAAAATAGTTTTGTGTTACGGATGAACTACTTTACTTGCGCACAAAATTTCAGAATTTTTTGAATTTTTAAATTACCTAGTGTTCCTTGTTAGTCAAAGTGACAGTGGCGCAGTAAGTAAGATGAACGACTCAAGAAGCAGAGGTTTCAGGTTCCCAGCTGGTAAGCAAATTTTTCGAAGTATAATTTAAATTGTATTAAGTAGCGGGTGAAACAATAAAGTGGAATATTTAAGAAAAATTCAGGAAAAGAGAAAAATTTTTATATTTTTATAATATGATAAATATGTATATCTAATAGATATTTACTAGATATTTTTGTAAATATTCACTACATATACTATGGATATCTACTGGATATTAACTTTAATATCCTATGGATATTTATTAGATCTCGTTTTACGGACATTTGGATATGTTTCGTAAGTCTAATGGATATTTATTAGATATTCGTGGATATCCCTATTATCCATGAAGGATATTTCATAGATATCTAGTAGATATTATGTTCTGTATAGGGTAACAATATTCGATATGCGATGAATATTGATATAGGCTGTGTTTTAAAATTACTGATGGCGCTGAAAATCTATAATATACATAGTATGAATTATAGTTTTTCATCGCTGGCAATGAAATTTGGGATGCAGCTTAATGACTCTCTATGATTCTCTATGATTACTTTTAAACTTTTAATGGAATATTATAACGGTTAATTCAAAAAAAAAAAAAATACACGAAAGTTTGCTTTCCAGAAGCAAATATCAATGGGATAAATGTATTGGGAGTGTGCATTAATTTTAAAGGATTTTCAAGAGATGGCGTAACTAGTACTATGTCGCATCGGACCATACTGTTTGCCACCTTTATGTCAAAGCACCATCATGTGGCTTTAGTTTCCAGTATGTGTCATTTTGCCGAAGTGTAAACGACATTGTTTTTTTGAGCATTGAATATGTCAAATTTTGTGCAAACAAAACACAATTTACTTTTTTGCTTTTTTGCTTCCATTTGAAGAAAAGTGCTGCTGAAAGTCAACGAATGCTATCGGAAGCTTATGGTGATTATACTCCATCGATTTCAACATGTGAATACTAGTTTCGACGCTATAAAAAAGGTGATTTTGACACGGAAGACAAGGAACGTCCAGGCCAGCCGAAAAAGTTTGAAGATGAGGAAGTGGAAGCTTTACTCGATCAAGACCCGAGTCAAACGCAAGAAGAACTTGCAGAATCATTAAATGTTGATTGATCAACGATTTCCAGACGTTTGAAGGCCACTGGAATGATTCAAAAGCAAGGAAATTGGGTGCCGTACGAGTTGAAGCCGAGGGACATCGAAAGGCGCAAAATGATCTATGAATTGTTGCTTCAGACACAGAAGAAAAGGTTTTTTGCATCGTATAGTGATGGGTGATGAAAAATGGATACGCTACGATAATCCGAAGCGCAAAAAATCATGGTGCAGGCCAGGCAAACCATCAGCATCGACGGCAAAGCCGAATATTCATGGCGCCAAGCTCATGCTCCGTATTTGGTGGGATCAGCTGGGTGTAGTGTATTATGAGCTGCTTCAACCCAACGAAACCATCACTGGAGAACGCTACCAACAACAATTGATGCAACTGAGCATTGAAGCAAAAACGGTCAGATTACGACAAAGTGATTTTCTAGCACGACAACGCTCGGCCACATGTTGCGAAATCGGTCAAGAAAACATTAGAAGCGCTTAACTGAGATGTCCTACCACACCCGCCGTATTCTCCAGATATTGCTCCTTCCGATTACCACCTATTTCGATCAATGACTCATAGCCTGTCTGAGCAGCGCTTTCATTTTTATGAGGATACCAAAAAATGGGTCGATTCGTGGATAGCCTCAAAAGATGTGTCGTTCTTTCGACGTGGAATCCACCTGTTACCAGAAAGATGGGAAAAAGTAGTGGCTAGCGATGGACAATATTTTGAATTATCAATTTGTAACCATTTTTTCACAATAAAGCCGTATTTTTACCAAAAAATCCCTTAAAATTAATGCATATTCCCAATAATAAATCTGCAGGATTTTCTTTATGAACTTCAATCGAGGATTTACTATTAAGAAATCTGTTAAAAGATTCTATTGTTTCCTCAATATCAGATACATTTAGGTTATACGGTATATCGAGTATATTATCATGATCAGTTATTGCAAGATTAAATATATTTTGATGAAATATATTTTGATTAAACTGTTTGGCAAGACGTCTATAAATCTGTCTATCTGACAAATTGCAAAATCATTTCCAATTTGGTTGAGACATTATTCTGTAATAATAAATAATCACAAGATACAGGATCGAATGTTAAAAAAATAAATATTGTATTAATATTTACTTAACTATTCAGTTTAGGTCTCTCACCTCCGATTTCAATTAGGTTCAATCGACGTGTTTTTGCACGAGAAACAACTTTTTTCTGACAAAATCGTTGCTCTCTACTGCGAAGCGAGACATTAACTGACAAAATTGACCACTATTGAGATTAGGAAAACTGTCACATCGACGACAAACGGCGAGATGTAGATGCTTTGTAGCCACTTGCGCATTTCCTATGGTTTCCGAAATATAAATAAAAAGGTACTCTCCCTGTATCTAGCCATATGACTGGATGGATGAAAGATGAGAGAGAACTAGTGCCGACAATTCAGGGGTCCGATTTTTGACGGTGTGCGAATGAAATACGCATGTGATACGAAAATCTACAGTATACGTAACGTGAACTATACATTTTCGCAAGCGTATCTCATTCGCATACCGTCAAGAATCGAACCTCAGCAATAGAAAACAGAATGAAATCGGAGATGAGAGACCCTATGTGTGTGCAGTTTTTAGTAACACGACGCACAAAAGCCTGCGTGCCGCATACGTGTAACATTCTGAACTTCGAGCAACGTCGGGTAGTATCATTATACAAATAAAAAATTCCTGAAGAGTACTTAATTAATTTCATTTTAGATCCATTGTACATAAGAAAAATAAACTCATTTTTAACATTGATTCAAATGATTCATTTGAAAGAGCTTACGAGGAGCTTTTTATTCTGAATTCTTTACGAACTTTTTTTAAATAAGTGTGCCATCTGCTGTGCTACTTGGGTAATGTGTACTGGGATCCTCCTAATTACGAAAGTTGGATTCCGATATTCACCCTAGTAGTTAAATTATCAGTTGAAAAGACGTCGAATGAACGACTATTTAACTAAAGAGTCTGATGGAAATATACGTCAAAATTTTCATTAATTAGACGTTTTTGTGTCCTTCAAATTATACCTCTATGAGACGTCTATTTAAACGTCTATTAGCCGCTTACAAAACATTTAAAAGTTAAAAAAACGCTTATTAGCGGCTTATTAGACATTTATTTCGACATAAGTAGCCTACGTATACTCGGAAACAGGAAAATCTTAACACACACTTATGCAATAAATTTAATCTTAACAACATTTATGCAATAAATTTAATAAAGTATAAGACATATTTATTACGTAAACATATAATATTCGTAAATATATATAACATTCTTAAATTTTTAAATCATAAAAATTGAACGTTGTTAAAACTTTATCAAATTTTTTGGATACCGCGTGTTCCGTACAGGCCGAGTATGGCGGGCGGCCGTGCGCCAGGCGATATTAAATGCGAGGTTGGCCGGTGAACCAACCGGGTTACTTGTCCGCGAAAAGATCGCAGGAGATTTTTTCCCATCACCATGGTGTTCCGAAAGAGCAGATAATGGTTTCGTTCGATGGCTCGGCGCGAGTTTACGTACAATATTGTGAGAAAGAGACGATTAATAGCGATGAAAGTTTGTATAGAATATCGGGTTTTGTTTATACGTGTGTTAAAATACGACATTGCGAGAGTCCGACAAAGATTGGGTTGTTAAACAAGAATAAGGCACAGGATAGAAGCAAAAATGAAGATTTGGACAAATTTGTGAACACTATTTTCTTCAAGAAAGGAGTTACATGTACTAGTAGGACTAGAAGTGACCTGTTCAAGATCAAACCGGAACTGCCAGGTCTTGATGTAACTTTTGTACCTTTGTCTGTACAAAATATGAGTTACCCCTGCCCCCTCTCTCTTTCTCTCTCTCTCTCACACACACACACATAATTATGAAATCGCTTGTTACAAACTATAAAGGATTCATTTACAATTCTACGATCGATATTTACAGATCATTAGCCCTAGATACTTTCCCAGTAAGCAAGAAATCATTAATACAACGTTGCTACAATGATATTGAAAAACCTGTAATATTGTCAAATATGTAATGTTTAATATTGTATCAAACATCATTATGAATATACTTTGACCGCGATTTGGATGTTTCAATAATATTGAAATAGAGTTGCCATTACATTTTAATCGGCGGAAATATTTTTCAAATGTTGCATTGATCTCAAATAAATGTTAAAGTAACATTTAAAAAATTTATTTTTTGTAATGTTTTTAAAACGTTTAAACAACATTCAGAAAAATCATAAAATAACATGTGAGAAATATAAATGCAATATTATTAAAAAATATCCAAATAATGCACATGAAGTCAACGTTTCTAAACGTTTCTAATTTAATGTTTCTTGCTTACTGGGAATGTAGGAAAGAGATTATTAAAAGCTTATTAAAAAATTGAAGGATCATAGGAGCGAAAAACGACATATTTACATCTATATTGTTTAAACCTTATTAATTTATATTTAAATTATATTTGTAATTTATACATTTATTAATCGTCGTATAACTTAGCAAATTCCACTACATCAAAATCTAATTGATAACATTATTCAACAATCCTTTGGTCACATGGATTATTTTAGATGCATTTTAATATATTCTTAGACATTAAACTCAAACATTATGCTTACTGTTCAATACAATATTGCTACAATGATATTGAAGAACCTGTAATATTGTCAAATATGTAGTGTTTAATATTGTATCAAACATCATTATGAATATACTTTGACCGCGATTTGGATGTTTCAATAATGTTAAAATAGAGTTGCCATTACATTTTAATCGGCGGAAATATTTTTAAAATGTTGCATTGATCTCAAATAAATGTTAAAGTAACATTTGAAAAATTAATTTTTTGTAATGTTTTTAAAACGTTTAAACAACATTCAGAAAAATCATAAAATAACATGTGAGAAATATAAATGCAATATTATTAAAAAATGTCTAAGCAATGCACATGAAGTCAATGTTTCTAAACGTTTCTAATTTAATGTTTCTTGCTTACTGGGAATGTAGGAAAGGGATTATTAAAAGTTTATTAAAAAATTAAAGGATCATAGGAGCGAAAAACGACATATTTACATCTATATTGTTTAAACCTTATTAATTTATATTTAAATTATAATATTTATAATTATATTTATAATTAATTATATTTATAATTTATACATTTATTAATCGTCGTATAACTTAGCAAATTCCACTACATCAAAATCTAATTGATAACATTATTCAACAATTCTTTGGTCACATGGATTATTTTAGATGCATTTTAATATATTCTTAGACATTAAACTCAAACATTATGCTTACTGTTCAATACAATATTGCTACAATGATATTGAAGAACCTGTAATATTGTCAAATATGTAGTGTTTAATATTGTATCAAACATCATTATGAATATACTTTGACCGCGATTTGGATGTTTCAATAATGTTAAAATAGAGTTGCCATTACATTTTAATCGGCGGAAATATTTTTAAATTGTTGCATTGATCTCAAATAAATGTTAAAGTAACATTTGAAAACTTTATTTTTTGTAATGTTTTTAAAACGTTTAAATAACATTCAGAAAAATTATATCACAGAATAACATGTGAAAAATATAAATGCAATATTATTAAAAAATGTCCAAACACTGCACATGCAGTCAATGTTTCTAAATGTTAATTTAATGTTCCTTGCCTGGGTTTGGGCTACTCTGGATAATGATGAAACTCACAAGAAAATGCGCAGAATCGAGGCCGGCCTCAATGCGCGTTCCCTGAGAGAATATTTCTTTCCGCCCAAAATCAAAACTATCCTTGCCGCTCCCATGGAAAGAAACGATTCTCCGACAATGTATCACCGCGTGACAGTCGAGGAATACAATATGAAAATTGTGAATATCTTTTTCATCGATCATGGTCGCATCTCTCAAGTACAATCCAGCGATTTGCGAGTAATCGATGACGTCGCGATTTTAAAGTTACCGTGTCTAGCGTTTCGATGCGCTTTGGCTACTATTCGTCCTTCGTATGAGATCGACAATTCCCAAGGATGGTCGAGGGTGTCGCGGGACTGCTTCGAGGCTCAAATTTGCGGAAGTAAGACGATCTTTGGGAAAATTTATTCGGTTGCAAATAGTACCGTTTATTTAGAATTGATTGTTATCGAGAAGAATAATGAGGAATTAAATATGAGTGAGTATTTAATCGAAAAAGGGCACGCTATAAGTAGGAAGGAAAGCTTCTTGTCCAAGCACAATCACGATTTGCGAGTCATGAACTCAATGTCGCCGGAGGAAAAGTCGTTTTACGAGGGACGACAATATAACGAGGACAATTTTTCCGAAGTGAGTTGAGAGTTTCGTTTGGTTAATCGATCATTTCGTCAAGTTCGAGAATAGGCTCGAGTTATGTTCCAACAAGAAGATAAAAACTAATCTATTGATAAAATAACAAAATAAAAGACAGTCCTTTATATGACAGTCCTGATGTTTCGGCTGCCTTCTTTCGACGAAATCATCGTCATTCTTAAATATCTGCTAATTCTAGTCGCACAATTGAAAACTGAAAAGACCACCGGTATCGGTCTTCTTCGCTTCAATGTGCAGATTCTAGATGTCAGTCTGATTTGTGTTTTCAGTATCCCTGTCTACCGGGAGAGAAAGATTGCGACTCGTTGGTACAGCTCCAAGGTCCTTATTCACCACTCGAAATCAACATGATCCAGCAACCGGCAAATACAAGAGAGCTCTCATCGAACACAATTCCGTTCTTCTCGATGAGAATTGCGGTTGATCGACGCATCTGCTGGTCGCGCAAAGTGTTCATCGACTGAACGATAGCAATAATTTGCTATCGTGGCGTAACACCACTTTATTGTCGAACTTAAGGCCATCACACACAAAATTCCGTAGCGCCGTAAACTTAAGGCACAAGACGCAAGATCCATGACACACACATGACGTAAAACATAAAGTTTAACCAATGACGAACAAGAAAAAGCTCCCTCCTACTTAAGAAATTTTAACCTAAAAGTGTGTGAATTTTGCAGTTTTATCATACTAAACAGTATTTTTTTTAAATAGTTTAATGATAATCCTATTGAATTGCAAATTTAATGTTATTATATAATTCACTTAAATATTTGAATGTCAAAATAATTTAAAGAAAAATAGATATAATAAGATAGAAAATAGATACAAAATAGATATAAAATGGATATAATAAAAATAGATATAAAATAAATATAAAAAGATATAAATAGATATAATAGATACAATAGATATAATTTAAAGAAAAATATAAAAATGATTTAACATTTATACCAACAAAACTATTCTGTAGGTCATCCACTAAAGTTAAAAACTGCAAAATAATGGGAAAAGAGGATCTAATATTTGCGGCAATATTGGTTGTGGCCATGGGTGTACTTTTATTACGAAGGAAAAGATCACGAAGGTGGCAGAATCGACAGTGGTGGGTCCAACCAATTAATTGTATGCGTCCTCATCTGGGAGATTTTTGTCATCTACTTCAAGAAATAAAAGATGATCCACAAATTTGTATAGGATCAACAAAAGAAATACAATATAATACAGAAAACTGTGCAATAGCAAGATGTAGAAAATTGATTCGAATTACGAGCCACAAACTTACTTTCTTTTCTTAATATGATCATTTAGAAATAACATATTTTCATAATATGCGAAAACAGCTCGTCGACAAACTCCACTGCCACTTCTTGAATCTAATTCTCGTTGGCGTTTCTCTCTTCGAAATCGTTCACGCAGCCTCAGCCATCGATTTTGACAATCAGAAACTATAGTAATTGGTACATTTTATTATTAGTATAAATAATAAAATAAACAGAAAAAGTAAAGAAACCAGTGAATAATATATAATAATTATAATTTGTTAATAACATTTATTTACCTGATAAGTTCACTGTCAAGGATATCTCCCTCCATGAATTTTCTTTCATCAAATTGTCTTTAAAATTACGATCTTGATGATTATATAAATGTGGATATGCTCTCACTGCATCAACGAGTAGTTCATCACTTTCTTTAAAGTTGTCGTTGTCAATTGTCGTTATTTCATCATTTTCTAATTCATTAAACATTGTATTACAATACTGATTATGATCACTCATTATTTCACTGTGACAGACGCGGTTGATGCAGGAGACACATAACCTTCTTAACTTGGCATCGAATTTTAGCGCAAATCCGGTAAACTCTGATATTTTTCGACGTTACGGTTAAGTTTTACTGACAAAAGTGGTGGGGATAGTGGCAACATCAGGATTGGTCGATTTTCTTACGTTTACGGCTTACGGTGCTACGGAATTTTGTGTGTGATGGCCTTTACCAGGACTTACGGCGTTGCTCGCGCTGATTTTCGCACCGCGCGTCGAACTGACAAATAACATTACCAAGTGCCACACGCCGATCTTCTTGAAACTTTGCAAACATGTAGTACATCGAAAAACAGTAGACACGTATTTTTTTATTTTGGCTAACAAGGCATTTTAAAGTTAGAGAACGCATTCGAAAATTTAACACTTTATAGCACCATGATAACTAATGTTACTCCTGAGCATGATTCTTTTATAGCTTTTACGATATTATTCTATTATAATTTCATTGTCTGAATGTTTCTGAAGTCGCTAATTATGATTTTAACATTAGTTTTGCGAGATTCAAAATGGCGGACCGAAATTGCAGACATTTCAAACTTTATTCAAAGTCAGTTTCGAAGAAGTTTTTTAGACCCATGATTACGATTTTGGCATCAGTTACATCAATCTAGAGGTGGCGGATGAAAATATGTAAAAGAATGACGCTCAGGAGTAGCGTTAGTTATCATTGTGCTATACTCTCTTAAAATGAATCAGTGAAACATCACTGAAAACAGTGAATATGATTTGCAGTTATAAGTGTTGCACTGAAAGTGCTCAGTGCTATACTTATAACTGATATCAGTAACTATTCACTGATTCACTTTAAGGATGTATCTGAGCTATATAAAAATAGTACCTATTTGATAAAACTTTGGGTAACTTTTCCTTAATTACCTATAATATACTGAAAAAAATTTCAAGTCGATTCACTAAACCGTTGAAGAGTAATTATTATGTTAATTTTACACGTGTTCTTATGACAAAAGCAACTTTCCTGAATGTGAAGAGTAAAAACGTATAGAAAAAATAGTACCAAAAATTTAAGTATTTTTATACATATAAATCCTGAATTATCGGAACTATTTGCGGAATTTGATTAGTTTTCACAACACGGTTTCAGAGAAATTAATTTTTATTTGTGACAATTTTGCGATTGTCATAAGAAGTTAGTAACTGGAAATGCGTTGCAATCAGCTAATGTCAAATGAATAACCTATAAATCAGATAATAAAGTTATGTCGTAAATTCTTGGTTTGGCTGCATTGTTTCATGCAGAAGACAAGAATATAAATTAAATAATTTCGATGAACAATAGGATAAGTGTAAAATTTGAGGCTTTTATTGTTTCATCTAATCTGCCAGGACAGTGCATTACTGCCAACATATTATAATTAATACAAGCCACAAACTACATGTACGCTGTTGCTACGTTTAACTTTTTTCATTAAATATTTATAATAACAATAAATAATATGGATAGTTATTGTTCAGACAATGCATATTTACCTGTTTTAACTTATCCCAATTTTGCACTGATGGATATTGATGTTAAATAAATACGAAATTTAATGTTCTAAAGTTGAATTCAGGGCATTTTCCCTGCCAAAAGTTTTATTATAGAAAGGTGAAGAAAAGCAAATAAAAGTAATAAACTGTTGAGAAAGTAAAAAATAACTTTTTAAATAAGAAATATATTATGTTAGCCACTATTTATATCACTTATCACTAGGTTTACAACATGTTTGAAGCAGATATTCAAATTTTTCGTTTTTCAAGCACTTTTGTCACCGATTATATCTCAGATACATCCTTAAGGGTGCGTTCAGATTCCCTACCCGGGTGCACTCTATTACTAGAAACACTATAGTATATGTTACATATACTATAGCACTTCTAGTATTAGAGTGCACCCGGGTAGGGAATCTGAACGTACCCTAAGAGAGTAGAGTGTTAAATTTTCGAATGTGTTTTCTAACCTTAAAATGCCTTGTTAGCCAAAATAAAAAAATATGTGTCTAATGTTTTTCGATGTACTACATATGTGCAAAGTTTCAAGAAGATCGGCGTGTGGCACTTGGGTAGTGTTACTTGTGAGATGCAATGCCTTGAGTATATATTACATCGGAGCGCTTTGCGGATTGGGCCCGATGGACAGCTGCACCGGCAGGGGCATATACGTATGCAAAAATTTGCATACTCTATTTCTATACTCGCCGCACATTTGTAAAATCAATACGCTAAGTTTCCCAAGATCAATTTGCGATAAAAAGGCAATTTACTAATCATCACTATTTGCTTTAGAAGTCAGGATACACGAGTGGCCGTCTATCTGGAATCGCTTGCATCCGCTTTATTCACGATTTATTAACTTTCTTTCGCGAAACACTCGCAGTACAAAAATAAAAAATTATTTATATATCTATAAAATAAAAAGTACATCTTGCAGTTAGAAACTCTTCAATGTAACAAAAATATAATAATGGTGACATTATTGTAAGTAATTAATAAACGTAACCCAACTACTTCGTTAAACGCTGCACAAATAAACTATTAATTAATGAAACGATACTTCTCTCTCACTAATAACTAAACATAACAATATATAATAACTAAATAATATATAATAATATAAAAAATGGCTGTAATCACGATAATTCTAAGGTGAAAATGAGAAAAATCGATGCCTCGTTCAAGAAGTCGAAAAAGAGAGAGATTCTCTCTATTCTTTCTTATGGTCGCATTATCTACAATTTGGAGGAGTGTATGCCCTTTTTAAGGAATTGGTGCAGATACAGTTCTAATGCCGGATACAAAGGTTGGCTGCGTTTAAACGACAAAATATCGTTGATTTTCTTAATTTGTTCCGCAACTGACACATCGTTGAATTTGTCTTTTTTCTCGGTCGACTCATTATCATCCGTTGCTGTGGATATGACGTGCAACGATAATTTACGTCGAGCTGCGCCGTGTATGCTCTCCTAAAAGATAATGTGTATACAACGCAACGTAACGTTGGGCAATGGTTAACCGTTGCCAAGTAACTAGTTATCATTACTTGTGGCATGATATCTTAAAAAAGTCTAACAACTGTTCCCGCGTTATGGTCTTCAGATAAGCGACTTCGATGTTCACCCGATCAAAATTATACTTCTGTACTGTAATCTTACTCCAGAATATATTGGTTCGATAAAATAACTGTTTTGATTTTTCGAGACGTAACGTCACTAAAGAATCCTTATGCTTTTCAAATTTCTCTTCGGGCATGGTGAATATGTAATCCTGAAACCTAAGTAACAATGTACAATAAAAGGTATATATATGATTTACGATCAGGCAGAAAAAGAAAGGGAAGTATTAGGTGTACAACTTTGCTTCCGCCGTTTTCCTATAGATGGCTTTAGCGGTAAGTAGTGGTCGAAATAAATAGATCATAGATGTCATACAATAAACTTGGGCATTTGTCAACATAACCCCATAGAAACATTAGTCGATTTGTGTCTGCATCATAAAGTTATTCTCGATTGAAAATGTCAGTTTACGAGCCAAATTCTCGTCATTTGCGGGAGGTTTTAATTTTCTGCTTCAATATGAAGAAATCTGCGGCTGAGACTCATCGAATGCTCATCAAATACTTATGGTGAGGCCGCTATTAGTGAAAGAACGTGTCGTGAGTGGTTTCAACGTTTCAAGAACGGTGATTTTGACGTCGAAGACCGGCATAGCGGTGGAAGAGAGAAGGTTTTCGAAGATGCAGAATTGGAGGCATTACTTGATCAAGACTCGTGTCAAAATCAAGAAGAATTGGTACGATCATTGGGAGTAACTCAACAAGCCATTTCAAAACGCCTCAAAGCCATGGGAATGATTCAGAAGCAAGGAAATTGGGTGCCGTACGAATTGAAGCCGAGAGATGTTGAACGGCGTTTGTTTGCTTGTGAACAGCAAACAAACGCTTGAAAGGCAAAGACGGAAGAGATGTCTGCATCGCATTGTGATTGGGGACGAAAAATAGGTTCATTACGATAACCTCAAGCGCAGAAAATCATGGGAAGTTCCCGGCCATGCTTCCACGTCGACGGCCAAACCGAATATTCACGGCTCCAAGGTCATACTCTATATTTGGTGGGACCAGCTCGGCGTAGTGTATTACGAACTGTTAAAACTGACTGAAACAATCACAGACGATCGGTATCGAACGCAATTGATGCGTTTGAGTCGAGCATTGAAAGACACACGGCCGCAATACAACGAGAGACACGATAAAGTGATTTTGCAGCATGACAATGCTCGACCTCATGTTGCGAAAGTGGTCAAGACATTCTTGGAAACGTTGAAATGGGAAGTCCCCACCCGCCGTATTCTCCAGACGTTGCTCCCTCTGACTATCACTTGTTTCGATGAATAGCACACGGCCTGCACTTCCGGTCTTACGAAAAAGTAAAAAATTGGATCGATTCGTGGATCGCCTCAAAAGATGACCAGTTTTTTCGACGCGGGATTCGTACGCTGCCCGAAAGATGGGAGAAAGTAGTGGCCAGCGATGGACAATACTTTAAATCATAAATGTATAATCAGTTTTTTACAATAAAGTCTCGAATTTCGGAAAAAAAACGGCGGAAGCAAAGTTGTATACCTAATAAAAGAGTAAATAAATGCTAGTGAACATTAGTTACATTTACGAGCAAAAAGTTGACGAACATATCGATTCGTTTCTCAACGTATCGCGGGTACTTGTCACTTTGAACTAGGATTTTCAGACCTTATATCACGTTTACTTTGTGCACACCATTGAACACTATATAGCCTAATTGATTGAATCCTGTAGCTCGTAAAATATTGAAACAGGGCTCGCTGATTATTCGACTCTGTCGACTGCATGCCGATTTGATCAAGTACCGCGGTCGCGGCGCGACGCCGAGTACGTATGAAACAAAATAATGCGATCGTGCAAGTTTATCTGAAATTTCTGGATCAATTGGTTTTCTGAGTCAAATACCTCAAGTACGAAAACTATAATCGAAATCTGATGAAAGTTTTCTTACTACTGTGCCCAAAAAGTAAGACCAATTTAAAAATATTTTTTTTAAATCTTTATTTATTCCAAATCTATTTCGTCGCCTTCAAAGTAATCCCCCTCAGACACGATACACTTATGCCAACGTTTTTTCCAACCCTCGAAACAGTTGTTAAAGTCAATTTCCGGAATGGCCTTCAAAGTTTTCTTCGATTCAGCTTGTATCTCTTCAATCGAGTCAAAACGGTGTCCCCGGAGCGATCTTTTAAGTTTAGGGAATAGCCAGAAGTCACACAGTGCTAAATCAGATGAATATGGTGGTCGTGGAACGATATGGGTCGAATTTTTAGCGAAATTGTCTCGAAGAACCAATACAGTGTGAGATGGTGGGTTTATATCTATTACTGCAGTGTGAGTTTATATGCATCACGTAATACGGTTTCCAACCGTAGGGTTGGAAAAAACGTTGGCATAAGTGTATTGTGTCTGAGGGGGATTACTTTGAAGGCGACGAAATAGATTTGGAATAATAAATAAAGATTTAAAAAAAAATTTTAAATTGGTCTTACTTTTTGGATACAGTAATATAAGATGTAGTAAAAAGAAATCCATTATTTTTCCAATAGATGGCTTTAGTAATATGTATCTCGCGTTGTATAAGTGCGATCGGTTTACGCTAGATGGCGTTAGAAAGATAAGATTTCGTACTAAAAAAACTTCTGAGACAGTTTTGTGATTGTTTGACTCAATATTATTTGAGCGCGCGTCAAAAATGGATACCAGCAAAGAGAAAATACGCCATATTTTACAGTTTTTCTTCGATAAAAGCGAAAACGCAAGCCAGGCGGCTGAAAATGTGAATAGTGTTTATGGTCCTGATACTGTAACAGCCAATCACGCGCAATTTTGGTTTCGTCGATTCCGTTCCGGTAATTTTGATGTCAAAGATGCACCACGCTCTGGAAGGCCAATTGTCGAAAATGTCGATAAAATAATGGAAATCATCGAGTCCGACCGTCATGTAAGCACTGTTTCGATTGCCCAGGAGCTAAACATTGCACAAAAAACCGTTTGGAACCACTTGAATAAGGCTGGATACAAAAAGAAGCTCGATATATGGGTGCTACACTAGTTAACGCAAAAAAACCTCATGGACCGAATTTCCATCTGCGAATCGCTGCTGAATCGCAACAAAATCGACCCATTTCTGCAGCGGATGGTGACTGGTGATGAAAAGTGGGTCACTTACGACAACGTCAAGCGAAAACGGTCGTGGTCGAAACGCGGTGAGCCGGCGCAAACGGTGGCCAAGCCAGGATTGACGGTCAGGAAGGCTTTGCTGTGTGTTTGGTGGGATTGGCAGGGAATCATCCACTATGAGCTGCTCCCCTACGGCCAAACTCTTAATTCGGACCTGTACTGTCAACAATTGGACCGTCTGAAGGAATCAATCGCCCAGAAGCGGCCAGCTTTGGCCAATAGATGAGGAATTGTGTTCCATCAGGACAACGCCAGGCCACACACATCGATAGTGACTCGCCAGAAGCTCCGGGAGCTTGGATGGGAGGTTCTTATGCATCCACTTTATAGTCCGGACCTGGCACTAAGTGATTACCACCTGTTCCTGTCTATGGCGAATGATTTTGCTGGTGAAAAATTCGCCTCAAGAGAAGCTTGTGAAAATCGACTGTCCCAGTTTTTTGCCAATAGGGACAAGGGTTTCTATGAGAGAGGCATAATGGAATTAGCTTCAAAATGGCAACAAGTTATCGAACAAAACGGTGCATATTTGACCTAAATCGAATCATTCTATGCTAAATAAAGCCTTCAATTTCATGCAAAAATAATGGATTTCTTTTTACTACACCTTATATATAATGTTTAGCGCGCGTGTAATTTGCACCAAGTTTGATTAAGATTGGTGCAGACACTACGGAGATCTCGTCCATCTCACCCGCGAAAAGTCCTTTTTATTTTCGCGCAGATTCTCAAATTTTCTCAGACACACGTACGCCCGCACACAAGCGAATGAGTTTGTCCATCAAGCCGCATTTGCATTGCCAAACGATTCAGCTTCAGATCACATGTATACGCACGCACACAAGCGATGCGCGTTTATCCGTCAGATTGCATTTGTATTATATACAGGGTGTCCGGTAATTA